TGATAATATGCCTCTCATAGATTCATTGAGGATGAAGTGAATCAGTACATGAATGTGCTTCCAGCAATATCTAGCACATAGCCAGTCAAGAAATATCAACTGTTGTTATTAGCAGCTAAAATTTTATATAGATACTGACTAGTCTCTCCCGTAATTGTTTTTATACTTTTATGCTCCCATTAGTATGAGAATGACTGTCTCTTAATACCCTAAACACCATATATTATTAGACTACTTCTTAATTTTAGCATTTAATCTGATAGATGGACATGCCACCACATAATAATTTGATTTATAGTTCTCCTTTTATAAAATAATTATTTATTTAATTTATTTCTTCTTATTATTATTTTAATTTTACCAGTGAGAGAAAGTGAGAAAACAAGCTGCCAGGTCTCTGACTGGTACTGCGGTTGGCCATGTGGGATTCCAGCACCTTAACCACTGTGCCACCTGCTGGCCCCAGACTTCTATTTCTCTTAAGCAATATTTATTTAAGAGTGAAGTTAAGAATATGTTCACATGTCTAAGTGCATTTGTTTTCAGTGTTGTGAATATTTCACGTTTGTCCTTTTTTTTTATTTCTCACTGGTCTTTTCCTGTTGATGTGTAGGGTTCTCTATGTATTAGGGAGTTTAGTTTATGCTATAAGTTGCTCTTTCATAGTATTTCATACTATTTCCTCATAGTACTCATTCTTATTCTTAATGTCTTCATTTATGATTTTTTTAAAGCGCCACAAGATCAAGATTCATGTCTATTTGTTCATCATTGTATATTGAGCATCAGGCAAAATGCTGAACACATAATAAATGATGGATGCATGTTTAGTGAATGAATACATGGGCCTAAAATGACAAAGAGAATCTTTGGTACCTAAGTAAACTGGGAAACTAGGAAATAAACTGGTTTACATGGAGACATGATGAGTTTGGTTTGGGGTATGTTGGGTTTTAGGTAACAGCCAGTATTCCAAATTGAGCATGTTCGAGACTCTTTGACAAGACACCCATGTAAATTTTGGAGTCATAACCCTGAAGTCGTTGGTTGGAAATAGATGATCTCTGATGGGAAGAGTGTTATGTAAAGGTTCACAAACGATTCTAATTAGAAACTATTTCAGGTGATTATAGTTATCCTAACAGTTTTAAAACAAATGCAGAAAGGAAAGTAGACGCATTATATATTTGCAAGTGTAAAGATATGGGGAATGTAGAAATATATTAATATTTGTAACAATAATGATTATTAAAAGGTATTTAGATAATGTTACAATTACATGCATATCAGGAAGAAATGAAAAGCTTTACTAGTGGAAAATTGAGTCTATTGTGATCAGATAAGCTTGTGGAAACCAGAGGTGCTCTTTTTGTATAAAATAAGATGTTTCTGTTTTTCAGTTTCTTTTTTTTTTTTTTTTGAGATGTTTTTGCTATAGGGCGCGTGCGCTCGCCAGCCAGACAGAGAGAGACAGAGAAACAGAAAGCGAGAAATCACCCCCTAGGGGGGATGGTCACGCCGCAATCCCTTCTCCTCCATTCTCCTCTCGGGATTTTGGGCACGCACGCACATGCGCCCAGTGTGAGTTTTAAGCCACCGGGTCCAGGACGCGAACTGCGATCGACTACGTGGGAGTCCAGCGACATAGCACGTGGGAGTCCAGCGACATAGCCATTACGCTAACTGCTGGTGCCCTACACATGATTATCTTTAGGGCTAAAGTCATTAAATAGCCATATTGAATTAAATGCTTATGAATTAGGACCTTTCTAAATCTACTGGTGAGGTTATTATTCTTGTTTAATATTTATAACAAAATAATCAAGGCAGGAATTCTATTCTGATGACATTGGGAATGTAATATTCCAATGTCAATCTAAATTTTCAAATGGTTCTGTAGATTAAAGGTACTATTTTGGTGGTCTTGCCTTGTGGCCTAGTGGTTGGGGAAGCTAGATTACATGTAGGCAACTGTGCGATTTGAATCCCAGCGCTGAGCAGCTTGGAAAGCACACCAGGCATGTGTACATCAATGCCCAAATCCTGACCAGATGGAGACATGGAGAAGGAATTACAGCACAGTCATGCCACATTAAAGGTGCTTTCTCCCTCTCCCTCTTTGTCTCTTCTCTTCTCTTCTCTTCTCTTCTCTTCTCTTCTCTTCTTTTCTCTCTCTCTCTCTCTCTCTCTCTCTCTCTCTCCCCTTCCCTGGTAAGTGTACACACCCTCCAGCAAGTTAAAAAAAGAAAAGAAAAGAGATACTCTCTTTAATGTGTACATTTTCTTTGCTTTTCACTAGAACACTTGTGTTTGAAGAAATCATAATGATAGATATAATTGTGCTGATCAGATAAGTCATTTAGCAGACAAAATTCTTAGTCACACTATAACGTTTTTCTTAACGTTTAGCTGCCTGTTTTATTTACTTTATGGCACGTTCGCTTTCAGGGAGGAGGGAAAAAAGCACCTCCTGTGGTGTGAGGACTACAGCGCAATTCTCTCTCCTTCATCTCTCATTCCTTTCAGGACTTTTGAGCAAGCACACAAGCATACCCAACGTGTTTTTCAAGCCACTGTGTCCAGGACTGGAACTATGCAGTTAGCCATGTGGGATCTAGCCACCTTAACCACCAGGACATAAGCTGGCTCACATGTAGCTGTCTTTGCCCTTGATTAGAAATCCTGTCATAAGAACAAGATTTCTATGTTCAGTCATTAGATCCTTCTGTGCAGGTGAGGAGATTATCAGTGATGAATGAAGTACACTGTAAAAATGATGCAGGAAGTGTGAGGACAGAAAATAAATCTACTTGAGGGACCTGCAGGTGGCACGGTGCTTAAGGGCGCTGGACTCCCACATGGAAGACCACAGCTGGAGTCCCAGACTTGGGGGCTTGCTTTCTCTCTCTCTCTCTCTCTCTCTCTCTCTCTCTCTCTCTCTCTCTCTCTCTCACTCTCGCTCTGTCCTTCTCTGGTCAAGTTATAAATTAAAAAGTTAAATAAAATAATTCTTAAAAAAAAATACAAGTTTAAAAAAAAGAAAAGAAATCTAACTTGAACTGGTATAGCAGCAACTTACCATGGTCTTCCTGGTTGACGTGTGCTGTCAATGGCATCTATAAGAGGTGTATATACAGTGTCACTTCAGGGGTTCTTAAGAAACCAGTCATTTACTTATGTGGCGTTCTCAGAAGTGCTTATTTTCTACTTAAAGTAGGAGCACAATTCATTAAGAGAGAATAGAAACTCCAATGTGGCCTGCATTTATATACAAAGGAATGATTATGGAATTTTTGCCCAAGATCTTATTTTATACTATGTTTTAAAAAATCAGAAATAAATATAAAGAAAAGCATTATTTTCTCCCTTTTTTTTTTTTTTTTTTTTTGAGAGAGAGAGAGCATGATCTTGTGTGAGAAGGAAGAGAGACAGAGGTATTTTTGAGAGGGGTTTCCATTTGTAATTGTTTGCATCAGCCTGCCAGTTAGCTAGTATCAGATCAGAGGTATGCACCTCCATGCCTAGCCTGTCCAGGTTGGTCAAGAAATTAAACCCAGGCTTCCCACGTGGACTCGGCCTTGTGCAGTGGCATCCCACTGCACCACCCTGGCCAGACCACACTTTATTCTTAATTACAAAAACAATATCCTCTACAGCCACTTCTTTAAAAATATTCTCTAAGAACTGAATAGTGATAAAGTAAGGTTTTATTCAAATACTTACCATTCTGTACTTTCGTTCCACTATTTGTTGAGACTCGGGGGAGAAAGTCAATTATTTATTGTTAAAGCTTAATTACTTTCCAAAGGAGTAGATTCCTGGAGCCATGGAGTCTGTTCTTTAGTGTGCTATCGTTTTATTTCTTCATTCATGGTAAAGCACTTGTGTACACATCTAAAAATGAGAGAGAGAGAGAGATGAGCACCATCCATAGGGTCTGGTCCCTCAGTCATCCTCCTCCTCCAATCCTCCATCCTGTCAGATTCTGGGTGCTCACACATGTCAGGTGTGTGATTAGGGACTTGAACCATGGTCACCAGGTGGGATCCGGCTTCTCTTTAGAAAAGCATCACTGCCACACCAGCAAGTTAGCCCCGTGTTACTATGTCTTACACCCATCGAAGGAGCCCATCAAAGCCAATGTCAAAGAACTGATCCGAAAGGTCCAGCACATCCTTAACAGTACTCAGGGATGGAGTGGAGGAGTAGAAGCCACTGTATTCTAAAGGGGTACCACCCAAAATTGAAACAGAGAAGAATGTTACTGCCTCAGTATGTGGCTGCTCTCTTGATATGAAGAGGGAGGGAAATGTCCTCATTTACAGAAATATGGCCAAATATCGCTTGCTTACTTCAATCCACATCTCTTTATAGCTGACTATTCTCAATCCCATTACACAAATGAAAGCTAAGTTTAGCAAATTGTTTGGCCGTTTATGTTTAGTGCACAAAATTCTTAATTACCAAAGTAAAATGCCACAATCCATTGTAAATCACTTTGCTAAACTTTCAAACTTAATAAGGAATTTTGTCTCATCCAAAAACTACTTTCAAACCCCTGCTGATCTGGCACTCATGGATAATTCCCTGTGGAGCCCAGTGAAAGAATGTAAAGGAAGCCAATTAAAGAAACTTTGAGCCAGAATAGACAAGCAGAGGCCATCTTGTCCATCCTTCTGCCTCCAGGCAGAAACCATCCGCTGCAACACACATTTTTGCTTGAATCCTGCTGACAAAAATGCTCACCACATGTAAATGACAAGTCATAATCCAGTTATTGCAACTAAAGCAGATTGTTAACTGTTCAAGACTTATTTATTGTGTTCTAAAGATGCTGAGTGTGAAAGCTCATCTGAATTGTCTTAATTCCCATTTCTAGAAAATTATTTTGTACAAGAAATGTATTCAAATAATTGTAAAGAGAGGGGAGGTTTGTGTCCAGGAAATAAAGTTATCTTCATCTTCTTATTAAGTGTATTTTTGGTTTCCTTTCACTCTAGGTTTACCTTACGGGTGGGAGGAAGCTTACACAGCAGATGGAATCAAGTACTTCATCAAGTAAGTACAAGCATCTCAACCAAGTAAGCAATTTTCTTCACATCTGGAGAGAACCTGGAAGTTTCAGAATAATCAGCAAAACCAAAAACCTTCTTGGAGGTTACAAAAACTAGTAACAAGAAATGAAGTCTCACCATTTTTCATTTCATGTGATTTAAATGCTAATATCAGATATCATTTTGGGGAGAAAAAAAACAGTAATAATTTCAAAGGAAACATCAAAAAATTGAAACAGAATCATTATTTAAACTTATATGTCGACTGTGTGAATTCACTTACTGGCTAGTAGTATCAATATTTATGAAAAGTTAATATATAATGAAAAATTCATTTTTATGTCTTAAAGCCTCTTAACAATCAACATTTTTAATGCTTTAGAATGTCCACAGTTTATTTATTGTGCAAAAAAATTTTTTTGAGTATTTGCTTTTTGCCCGGCAATGTTCCATGACCTAGAGATGCAATGGGGAAATATATAAACTAGTTCCCTGATATCATAGAATATACATAATAATGAGGAAAACCAGACAAAAAATAACTTCAGAGCTAAATAGGACAGTATGTGAATAAACCTTATTTCAGTGAATTCTCAGAACAACCCTTTGAGCTATATTAACTGGAGTTCTATATTTAAAGGCCTTTAAATGTTAGTAAATGAGTCTAGACCCTGTGGGGGCCTCCTTTACCTAAGCTTAGCTATCCCAGTGTTTCTTAACTTACAGCCTAAAACTGAATGTCAGAGTCTAATAGTGCCTTAAAAGAAAAGGATTCTAAGGACAACCAATTGCCCACCAAAAGAACAAGAGATGGCCAGCCAGAAAGTCAGTCTGACTCATTACCCAGTACCCTGCTGACTCAAGCCACTGTCCCTTGCAGACTAAAGCAATAGTCTTGGGCTGAACTCATACTACAAGGAAGAAAAGCATCTAAGGAGAGCAGAGAAAGAGATACTGTCAACAGCCCTTTGGCTTCCCTGAGATGTAACTCACAGTTCCTGTGGAAGGAATAAGAGATACACCATGTGGGACCAGCAGTTAGCGCAATGGCTATGTCACTGAATTCCCATGTAGTCGACCACAGTTTGCGTCCTGGACCCAGTGGTTTAAAACTCACGCCAGGCGCACGTGCATGCATGCCTAAGATCCCGAGAGAACGGAGAAGGGATTGCGGTGCGGCCATCCCTGGGGGGTGATTTCTCACTTTCTGTCTCTCTGTCTCTCTCTGTCTGCCTTGCAAGCACATGCGCCCTATAGCAAAAACCTCTCCAAAAAAAAAAAAAAGAAAGAAAGAAAGAAAGAAATACACCATGTGTCTAGTCTCCTTTTCACTACTCAAAAAATATAACTCAAAGGGTATGTTTTTTGGAAGCCCATCATTTCTCTTTTCAATCTTAATCTTGAAGCACAGGGAAAACAGGACAGGACCTAAGATAAATTTGTTCTCTTAAGGGCAATAGTGGGTATTAGTGGATCACTATTACACTTGGAGAAGTTGTTCGTTAAAGAGGCTAAACTCATCAAGGTCACAGAGTGGTGAAATCACAGAGCCAAGACACAGATCCAAGGTTGTCTGAGTCCAAAGTCACCCTCATGCATACCCATGCATGCTGCATCACCTCCATCTCCTTATTTTAGTACAATGGCAACTGACAAGAAACACATTTTTAAGGAGATCTTGATTTAGGTATAGCTCTATATCCATTTTTAAATAGCAGAATAGAAAATTCTAAGAATAAGTAGTTATCTCCTAGAGATCAGGAAGGTCAAAGAATAAAAATAAGAAAATGTAATAATATACCAGTGCTGCTTCTATCCAGCCTCATGGAGGAATGTGACACTTGCTTTGAGTTTGTTTTGTTGTTGTTGTACTTAACCCTATTGACCAAAATGAGACTCAATTTAGTTAAATTATTCTTGATGAAAGTCTTACTTAATATGTGTTACATACTCCCCTGCCTTCTTCTACAGAGGCCACTGAACAAAATCATTATAAACATCCATCTTATTCATAATAGAGTAAGTTCTGCAGGAGTTATTAAGCTGTATAAGCTAAGCAGAGACACAGCTGTTCCACTCATCTCTCACTGCTCATAATGTGCCAGGCCTTCTCTCATGCTCGTTTTTCTCCTGTGTTTTCTCTACACACTCTACTCTCATCTCTAAGACATTCTTATTTGAACAGGACTCCAGAAAATCAGGCTAATTCAGATTGTTTATAAATAGTCCTTGAATGTGGGTCTGTAGGGGTTCTATATGAGTCGAGTTCTGAAATTCTGGTGCAGGTGGATTTGATTACAGGAAAACCATCTGGTATTTCATGGGCTTTGGACTTGGAGAAACTTGAATTCAAATGCTGGTACTTCCAGAGTATAGCTGAGCAACCTTAGGCATGTTTACTTAACTTCACTGGGCTTTAATTTTTACAGTTACAAAATGGAAAGTGTACGACCACTTCATAGGATTTCTGTCCAGTATGAATGTCCTTATGTTTTGAGTTGTTGGGAAAGTCAGGATGCATTTTTGCATAGAAAAACACATCATGACTTTCCCGACAACCTAATATTTAAACAGCTTGTCGTAACTCTCATCCCAAAGTAGACACTTTCGGCACAGGTTAGGCCTCTTCGCTCTCTCTGCTCTTTCTAACACTTTGATAGGGAAATCTCTATGGGTCTTACTACATTCATTAGGTGGTTTTATCAGATAATTCAACTCTGCATAAGCAACCATCTATTATATGTATTTCTTTGAAGTATTTAGTTTCAGGGTTCTTTTTTTTTTTTCTTTTTTAATCTTCATTCTTTTCCTACCCCAACCCAACTTTTGGGCCTGACTAGCTCGTTAGCTTTTGAGGTGGGAATGGTTCATTTACCAGGTGAGTGATACTTTGGAGGAAAGAAGTAACAAGTAATGAACTCAGACTGAAATCACCCTCTCAGAACATTGGAGGAGATGATAGTCTGTATGCATATAATCTCTTCCCTTAAATTGGCATCTGTCACTGTCTTCTCAGAAATGGAATTGTTAAATCTGATGGAAACAAAGCCTCAGGCAGGGGAATAACTGTCAGTACTCTCTAAGAATGTCCACACAAATACAGTCCTCATTGAATAGTCCTGTCTTATTCATCCACATTTTCATTGTATATCTATTAATACTTAGTCATCTACTTAAGTTCTGATACAAGAGAAGAAAGCATTTTACCTGGCATAAATGAATTTAATCAGTGTGGGCATTGCTAAAGCTATAGTGATATTTCATAAAACTAATAAGTGTGTGTGTGTGTGTACCAATGTGAGTGTGCAAATATGCATGTAAGCAGGGCCTACTCACTTACTATATCTGTGTGCATGCATGTGCATATGTAATATACCAGTTCGTTCTAGAAAAAAAAATTTTATATTTTCATTGAGAAAGAGTTACAGCATTCTTAAATTTCATAATTAAATATTAGTTATCTTGATGGTGCTATAATGAAATTATCTGATTAACTTGAGCATTTCTCTACCCTACTTCTTATCTTCCATTTGATGTTGTATACTATGATTGATTTATAACAATCTTTTGTTATGATTCCACTTTAAAAGTTCATATACTTTATATGGTCTTATATAATGTAACAGAATCATCATGAGAGTTATCATGTTTGTTAGTAAAACTGAATTTAAATATTATAAGTTAGACATAGCCGCTAATTGTTTTATTGCACTCTTAACTGTTTTTATCAAACATTTGGAATCACAATGATAGATAAATTAATTCTCTATTTCTGGGTGATAAATTTCCCTCAACTTTTCAACTTTAAACAGTAAATATTTTCTCACATAGTTACAGAGTGTCAAGAATCTAAGAGTGTACTGATTGGATTGTTCTCATTCTTACTCTCTCTCTCTCTCTCTGGATCTCTCATGAAGTTGTAGACAAGCTATAGCCAGGGCTGGGAATTGAAGAGTGGTTTTGTGGACTGACCAGAATACTTGTTCCAAGGTCACTCATGAATCTGTTTTCAGGAGACTTCAGTTCATTGCCATATTATGGACACACAGGGCCACAGGGCTGCTTACCACATGGCAGGTGCTTCTTCCCAAAGCAAAGGACAAGAGAGACAGAGAGAGAAACAAAAAGCCACAGTGTCTTTTACAGTCTCAGAAGTGACAGATAGTCACTTTTGCAAATGCTGTTAGTCATACAGATCAATATGATACAGTGTAGGAGACAAGTACACAAGAATGTGAATATAAGGTGAAGAATGTGAGGCACCATTGTAGAGCACGCCTACTAGAATGCTATTTCTCAGTTTTTGTTAATTTTTTAAAAATTTATTTACATTCATTCACTATACATTACAGCATACAGAATGAGATTTCCCATCCAGAATACAGTGTCTATTGACTCAATAAAGCAACAAATAATTTTCCAGTTCTTGTTTCCTGTATATGTTGCTTATTTTTGCCATCCTTGATTCCCTATCTCTTGGCCATGTCCCACCCTCCTCCCACACTGTCTCTGGTATCCATGGTTACTTTCTATGCCTTTTCCCCCCATTTTATTGATTCACTAATTAACTTAATTAATCTAAATATTTCCAATAGCAAATGCAGCTGATATATACATGTCCATGAACACAAGTCTGACTTTAGGCAAAAACCTCAGTGAGGAGAATGAACGTACTATGAAGTAGCACCTAGCTGGGGCTATATAGCTTACTGCAGTCATCAAATATGTATTTTTTTTTTATTTCAAGAAAAACAATTTTTGTGGGTTTTTTTCTTCTGAAACTTTTTTCTTTAATTAATTAATTTACATTCATCCCCTAAGCATTGTCACAACATACAAAATGTGATTTCCCATCCAGAATATACTGCATAGTGGCTTTCTCAGTTTTTGTTAAAATTAAACAGTATATTTCAAATACTTCCTTTGAATATTCATTTATACCATTCATGATTTTTCAGTCAATTAAACTTGACTTAACGATTTTTAAACATTCATTTGGGTCAC